AACACACACACTCACACACACATACACATACACACACACACACAAACAAACACACACACTCACACACACATACACATACACACACACACACACACACACACACACACACACACACACACACACACACTTCCCCCGCCCAATTTTAGAACATACAGAGCAACTGTCTTCTTCCAGTCTTCCCTATCTGCATCCCATTCCTCAATGTCAGTGTCCTTGGCAGTTTCTTTTACCCAGTTTATTATGGTCCTAGGTCTTCATAAGAACCTCGGCCTTCCCCTCATTCTTTTACTCTCGTAAATCCATGCGCAACCAACATTTACGCTATAATGCACTTTACAACTTTCATTTCATCCCTCAAATTTCGACCTTGAACCGCAATGAAGTTATCATATCATTTCTCTACCCAGAATGACAAAGTATCATCTGCTCAGTACCTAGATTTGAGAAGTTTGACGTTAAATATTTTTGAGTTTCACAACATGGTCAAGCTCTTCCGAATGAAATGTTTTTATTATCTCGATAACGACTTTTTCGAATGCAATTCTTTGAACATCTCCGAATAATTGTACGATTTTCGTAGACCAGATAGAACAATGGTTTCTGACCCATACTCTTGATAAGTCAAAATGTCTAAAAATTAGATATAGCTTTCAGTTTTTGTTTAGTTTAGTAAGAGCTTTATGACGCTCGCAACTCCAGGTTGCTTGCAATTCTATGGTAGCAAAAATGTACCTACTACTGTGTAGAATCAGATATGAAAGTTGAAAATTGCGGATGTATGTGAATAACATTGTTCCAAAAAAAGAAGTTTTCGTTAAGCTAATTTCACACGACTGTCGCCTGGTTCGACTCTTTGGTTTGGCAGACAGAAGACGGAGCGGAGACTAGGGTGTAGTGGTTAGGTGTTTCGCCTTCGCACGCAGAAGACCCGAGTTCGCTTTCCGTGTGTGAAAAAAAATATTTTGTATCTCAGTCTTTCTGTTGAGACGATAATATGTTTCCCAATCTACCCGAGTTGGTCCTGACAGGCAGGATCGAACCCCACCTCCTAAATGATTCAAGATGTTGTTTCGATGAAATAGTAAAAAACACCTACATTTATTTGTTCCCTTCTAAGTCTAGACCTATTTGTTTTAAAACAGATGATAACCTCTTAAACTCAATTTCAACCCCTTATCCATCCCACCTCTTCTCTCAACTTCCTGAAGGTTGGCGGGTGCTCTTGTGTGGTCTTTCTCTTTCTTTCTTTCTTTCCAAACTTCTATTATCCACTTCTCTCTTCCTACTTTTCTTTTTGTTTAATTCTCCAATAGCGTCTCTATTTCTAAGCACTTATAATATGAGCAGTGTTGCGAGTGCTGTAAAATCTTGCTTAAGCTAGACTAAATTAATGTTTCATACCAAGTGTAGTCAATACAACAACATTTAATTATTCTTCCTGTCATAGATCTGCTTTTACAAGTCATGAAACTTC